GGGCCCACTAGCTTCACAGCTATATATGAGCCCAATGGCCCAAATTAAATATGAGCCTATTTGACAGTTACAATTTTATTTCGTATTTTAATTTTAATGTTTTTACAAATCTAAATCACATGAAATGTTAGACGTATATTATTATCATCAAAGCACCTCATAAAAATATTAAAAACGTAATCAACAATAAATAAGTTGACCAAAATACCTATAAAATTGTTTAGAGGTTTTTTGGCCAATTTTTTAATTGTAAATTATTATTTTTTGATATTTTAATAGATTCTTTTATTTTTGAAGAACAAACGCTCCAAATTTCAAATGATTTAGATTTGTAGAAAAAAATTAAAATTAAAATACAAAACAGGGTCGTGGCCGTTAAATTGTCTTATGGGCTATTGGGCTCATATGCAACTATGAGCTAGTGGGCCAACGCCAACATTTTTCTTTAAAATTATATTAAGTTGTTATTGTTATATAGAATATATATCATGTTATTCAGACAATTCTAAGGCGTACATGGAATGACTCGTTGAATTGTCGAGACAATTTAATGGGTGGCACCAACACGGTGAAGAGGAAGAACAGTAACATGTTTCATTTTGGTATATGGTTGTAATTTAATTGTTGTATGTTCCATTTTAGACCACTGATTTACATTTATATTGATTATTATAAGCTCTTTTTCAGTGATATGAGTGAATGGTTAATACATATTCAAATTGGAAAATGGTGTTTTAGTATTCACGTATTTTTACAAAGGGAAATGACCTTATGAGACACTCACACATCCATGTGTGTAGGACCCCAATGGATCAACATTAAATTTAGCACAAATCTCTAGATAAGTCAAGTCCCACACCCATGTGATAACTTTTCTAGATATCTGTGTCAAATTTAATGACGATCCATGGGGTCTTACATGAACGTGGGAGGGTCTCATATGATCATTACTCAAATCTTTTAAAAAACTAAAAAGACACTAATTTTAGAGATTTTCTAAAATTTTTTGGGCCAAAACTTTTCGATCCACATGATTCACGTTTTGGAGAGGCCGATCCGGCTCGTCGATGAATTTTTTCAAACCTTGACTAGGTCCATACTTTTGTACCCAGACCCGATCTGCGACCCACAATTGTAAAAGTTCGACCCCAGTCCAATGCGAGTCAGGTTGACCAGTCAAGGCGTCATCAACAGCACCGATTAGCGAAAAAAAAAAAAAAAAAAAAAAAAGAAAGAAAAGAAAAGAAGGCACGCACCCCAGGGGAAACCGCGCCGAGAGAAAAAGAGCCACACACCCACTCAATTCAAATTCGGACAGCTCAATATGCCCATTAATGTACGGGAATGGAAAGAAAGGCCGCTGAGCGCATCGTCAGGGAATGGATTCCTCTGACGGCCACAGAACAAAGAGCGTGGACTCTCTCCAGGAAGGAAGTAGTGAGCAGGGAATAATATAGGAACCCTCCTTTTGCTCCTTTCTAACAACGCTTTCGGTCGTCCAAAGGTCCATGGCCTTTGAATTATCCCATCCACTTTATTCCAATTCCTTTCTTCCAATAACCATCCATCACCCTCCTCCTCCTCCTCTGCTTGATATTACTAGAAATATAGGTTGGGGTTATTTCTGCCTCTGTTTCTTGTTTGGTCTTGGATATTTGTTGAGAGGGAAAGAGTGTGCTTTTTTTCGTGTGCTTGTGTTGAGAGAGAGAGAGAATGGGCGAAGAAGATGAAAGATTTGAGGAGGTGGGCACTCCTCTTTCAATAATAGCAGAGGCGTTTGAGGAGCTGGCCAGGTCCCTGGCTTTGAGGCCTGGGGAAGACCTGCGATTGGCCCCTTTCTCGAATGCATGCTCCCTGGTGTCTGTCCTCTTTGGCCGCCTTGGCATTGCATTCAAGTTCGCCGAGATTGACTATGTCGCTAAGGTCCTCTCTCTCTCCGGATTCTGTTCATCTATTCCTTTTTCTCTAGGGTTTTTGTTTCACTGTGCATTTCGGTCCTTGTGAAAACACAGATCAGATATCAGTTATGTTCATTTGTTCTTCATTTTGAGAAGTGTTTGTGCAACGATGGCGGATAATGTTCATGTGTTATTCTCTTGAATGTAATTAATGATTTTAATTTTTAACCGCATTAACGAAATTGTTCATTTAAGATAGATTCTGATCATTCCATGAACGCCTTTTGTCATGAATGTGAGGTTTATTGCTTAGTCATATGCGTATGTGATAGTTATTTATCTACTTCTATGCATTTGCATTCTAGTGTTGGCATAGAATTTTGATCATCGCTTCAGGTGTTCTTACATGAGAACCTGATGGACAACTTAAGATGTTGAAGTTATTTATTGACTTGCATTGTCATTATAGTGTTTGGATAGAGTTTTGATCATCGATTCAGGCATTCCCACATGAATGCCGAAGTTTAGTGAGGGCATGTAAAGTTCATAATGATTTAACGAGGTAGAAAGTTTTGTATTTTTGGTTTATCATCAACATTTGATAAATACTTTATGTTTAATAACTGACGACAAGGTACTTCAGAGGAATGCACTTTGCATCCGAAGAATAGGAAACTCACCTCAGGTCAAATAGTAAAAAATGTGTCATCACCAAAATTCTCTAGGGTCATCATCTTTCCAAAATTTACCCCTTAAGCTACCAATTTTTCCATGGATATTGCTATATTGGGCATCCACAAATGATTTTTTAAAGAATATTGATGTGGAAATGAGCTGCAACTTCCTTATACCTTGTAGATCACGAGTTCTCGATGTTGACACACATCCAACAAGGCTCATGTTGAAGTTAAGGTGTGGAACTAATTGTGGATAATTAGGCCCCACAAGGTTGATGAATAACATCCATGAAATGGGTGATTTTGTCAATCACTAGCAAGCGCAATGGCTTTTTTCCTTCTAGAATTGAGATATTCAAGATATGACTTGATGATATCTATGTATGCAAGATTCAATACTTGTTCATATGTGTGTGTGCACGAGTGTTCATGTGTATGTACAATTCTAGGAAGGCCTTATCCATCATATCTAGTTGTCTACCTCTCTAGACCACTTAAGAGATGTCCCTTAGACGTTAAGAGTGGGACAGAGGTCTGGGTATTGATACATATGCATTTGAATACGCTTTTTGCATTAGTACTGTTTATTTAACAGTTATTCAGAAATTCCCTGTTATGAAAAAGGTTTCCTTTTTTGTTTCGAAAATTTTCCTCATCTACTGGAGTATCATAAATCCATGATCTGGGATGTCTATATATCTATTCACCACAGTCACTTGGCATTTTATAGTTTATTGTATGGCTTAATTTAGTAGCTCTTGCTCGTGATGGCACATTTGAGCCTAAATTTCTCATTTTTTGTTAGCTAGCTACTACTGCCTTTTGATTTTTTGTGGTCCTTTATCGTCCTTGCTGCCACAAAAAGAAAATATTTACCAGTGTTCTAAAACACAGCTCACAAGGTGTTCGACACCTGCCTGAACTGACTACTCAGGCTTTTCTATTCAGGCTTCCTTGAGCCGTGTCTGAGTCAATTAAGGGATGCCAAAAAAAAGAAAAAGAAAAATTCCAGAAAATGTTGAAAAATCTGTAAAAATAAAAAAAGCTCAGCAGAAATGAAAAAGATCACAAACAAAAAAAAGTGTGTAAGAGATGGAAAATGATGACAAATTGATCTTATCTGCAAAACAATTGATGACGCACTAAATGATATTGTAGTTAATTTTGTAGTACTATTCTAGTGGAAATTCAAATAAGGCCCATCAATTTATCGCTATGCGGTCTACAATTTCTCACCAACACAAAATCATAGTCTCAAAGAGAGCACTCCAATGCAAAATACATCACTCTACGCTTTAGTACCAAAAGGAGCATCGTGGATATACATAGGGGTCTAGGTGTTAGGGAGGGGGTCCCTCCCAGATACCTGCGTGATCAAGGAGTGTTCTTTATCCTAGCAGTCCCTAACTCAAAGTTGTTAGTGCTAGCCCCAGCAGTTTCTAACCCAAAGTTGCCAAGGCTAGTTAGCCTCATGCTCATTGCCACCTTGACTCTGTCACTCACCACTTGGATCGTCTCCCACTATCTTCGCTTTGTTGCCTACTACCATGACCTCCTCTTCAATAGAGGTCCCACCATCTTGGCCATCCTCAGCTTCCTCTGGTTGTGCTTTTTTTTGAGTAGCCTGTTAGCCCCCTCCACCTCTACGTCATCTAGCTCATCAAGAACTTGTTCTTCAAGGGCCCATTTGTTGGTTCTTCTTGCTCCAGCAGACATCTTCTGCTGGATCTTGTTTAATATGTAGTCGAGGTTGATAGGATCATAATCCTTCACCTCTCTCCTCACCTGCCTCTTCCTCAAATCTAGATTATAGTGCACATGGACTAGCTTGTGCAGCCTCTCAATTTTCACCATGTTCCTCCTTGGGGCATGGATACTCCATTTATTTCACATGCCATGGTGGAACAAGTTGGCTGAGGACCTCTGTTTGCAATCTTTAATTGGAGTATGTTGCTTCCATGTAATTCCTATTATTTCGCCATAAATACCTAAGGTAGAGTAGTCATTTACGAGTACAGTCATGCATTCAAATTATGTTAGGATATCATACTTATGAAAATTTGAATGCTAATCTGGATGAAAATTTGAATGCTAATCTGGATCTAGTGTCTTGACTTCTTCTAGCCATATTGATCCCAAAATTGCTGTGTGCATTCATGTAGAAAGCGAGTTAAAACAACAGTACACTCATTTTACAAACCTATTACATGATAAACAGCAACTTTTTTGCACATTATAAGTTGTAGGCAAAAGCCTACCTCTTTCAAGGTTTTAATTTGGACAGTGTTCCAAAAAACGCTGGGCAGTGCCTAGGCAGTTATGGGGGGTCCTGGCCACCCACGCCTAGGAGGGTGCCCAGATTTCTTCGTGGCCTAGGTTGAAGAAAAGAGGTAGGGGAATATGAGTAATGCATCATAAAATGTTAAAAAACTTTAAAGTTCAATAATCCAAAGTTCCAAACCGTTGCAAATTTGTAATAGACTACCAGCATAACCAGATATAAAATATAATTGTAAATTAGTAATACATGCACAATCCATAATCCATACTCCATGCTTCATAATTCGTAGTTCCACGCAATGATATAGCCATATAGACATACACATAAGAGTAGAAACTAGAAAACATGAAAAATAAAATATACACTTGAAGATTCAAGAGTCAATAGTCTTCAGTCATCGTCAGAAAAAGTGGGGTAAGCTTTATCATATGTATTGGAGTCGCCATCATCATCAATGTCATCTCCCTCTTCAACATAACACTCGTCCTCCGTTTATTTTGAATCTGCCTCTTCCTCTTATTCTTCTACTCCCCTCGTGCTTTATGCAGATGGTTTAGAGGCCTTAGGAGTGTTGGCTGCTCTACTTCATGCTTCTTCACCCTTTTCTTGCTTTTTGTGTTTTACTGAACTCAAATATTGTTTAATCTCCTCCCTAGTAGCTTCAGGAACATTTTTTACAAAGGGCAACATTCCCTAATACTGGCTAGGTATTTCTTGAATCGGTAAATACCGCCATTAGTATCCTTTCGACAATAGTTACACCTTATATAATTTTTGTCGTTCATATTCGGGTTATAACCATTCTTCCAACCTGGATCACCACTTCTAGAAGAACCTTGAGATGACATTTCCAATTAACAAGGCTCCTTTTCTTCCTTTTTCGGTTTTACCAAATTCAAATATTGTTTGATCTCATTCTTAATAGCTTTAGGAACCATTTTACAAGATGCAACATTTCCTTTAATACTGGCAAAATGTTTCTTAAATCTGGTAATATGCCCATTGATATTTTTTTCACAAAAAAAATACACCTTTTACAATTTTTGTCATTTGGATTGGGGTTATAGCCATACTTCCTACCCAGATCATCACTTTTAGAAGAGCCAAAGGAAGACTTATCCAAACGACAAGACTCCTTTTGTTCCTTTTTGCATTTTACTAAACTAAAAAATTGCTTAATCTCCTCCTTGATAGCTTTAAGAACATTTTTACAAGGGGCAACATCCCCCTAGTACCAACAAGGTATTTTTTTGAACCGGTTTATGCCCCCATTAGTATCTTTTAGCAATAATTATATCTTATACAATTTTTTGTCGTTTGGATTTGGTTATAACATACTTCCAACCCGGATCATCACTTCTAGAAGAACCCGAAGAAGACACTGAAATAAAAATAAAATCTCAAATATGAAGATTCTTAATTAACCTTTTTGCTCGATCTTCAATCTTTAATGTTTGAGATGTTTTCCAAAATTAGATGCTTGCTAAAAACCTTCTAATTAGCTTATAAAAATCTACAATCCAAACAAAAAAGATAATGTTTAGATAGATTTTTAAAATTTTTGATGTACCTCGATCGATCTCACTGAAATGTAAAAATGTGATTTCGTCAAAAAAAGTTTCACCCCAAAGTGTAACCAAAGGGGTTTCAGCCATACAAGAACCTAAACAACCCCCAGTTCCCCCCTTGTTTATGGGGAAAAAGGATGAAAATTGAAAGGTGGACTATGTGACCAGGCAAGTCAATACTGTTTAAAATTTTTTACACTTTTATACGTATTGCCACTTGGATCACTTACAAGTATCCAAAATACAATTTTAACTCAATGAAATAGCTAAGACCTCTCACTTGCATGCCATTAAAAGAAAATTACATTCATCATGTAGAACTGAAAATTACAGAAGGGCGCATTAGAAGCAACAGAAATACAAAATATGAAATACTGTATACCTTGCCTTAGGACTTCGTACACCCCAAACCGGGTCTCCTCCACCGATGGCGCATGGGATTTTGGTTCAAGAACACACCTCACAATTAGGGAAGCTTAGGCAAAACCCTTCAAGAGCA